CCTCATGATCTGGATTCTTGTCCCCACAGGGTCTGGGTACATCCATAAGCTGGCCTCCTGTTTCTCACCTGTCCACTTCCACTAGGCTCTGTAAGAACTTAGAGCATGGCATCAACAAAATCCCTGATATTCTCAACCTCTTTTCTGAGCACTCTTTCCTCCTGCTTTAATTCAGTGTTTCTCAACTTTGGCTGTACTTTAGAATCACCTAGACAAATTTTCAAAATTCCCAATGGCCAGGCCTCATCAACTCATCTTCAAATTTCTGGGCTTCCGCAGGTTTAAAGCTACCTCATGATTCCACTGTGCAGCTAAGGGTGAAAACAACTAGGCTAACTAGGTGCAACTAGGCTGCAAGCCAGAGAGCATGCACTTCCGGGACTATTTCTCTCCCATAGCTCTGGCACCATTGGGTGTAGAGAGGAGATAGTTTGCTCCTCCATGCCACCTCCAGAACACTCAAGCCCTCTTCCCCCAAAATCTGGCTTTCCCAATCTCCAGTAGTTTCTCAAACATACAAGAACCTCTTGCATGTCTGTTTCTTTGAATTTGGTTTATACTCTACAGTGAAGCTCTGTATCCCTCACCCATCTAAAAGGAAAGATTCTCCTGTCTCATTTCACTGGGCATCTCACCCATTTCGTGAACTTCCCCAGTCCCTCTAAGCTGGAAGGTATATGACACTTCTTCCACAGTGCTTTCACCCTCTTGTGGTACTTTAGTTCTCACTGCATTGTTAGCGAGAAGCACTTGCTACTACAAGGTGAACAACTAGTGCTACAAATAGGAAAATTTTGAGCACATGAGTTTAGAGGAAGCCCCAATTTGTCAAAGGTGGTGCTACTATAAAACTTAAAATACTTTGCACCTCTGAATTATTTTCTTTATTAAATATAATTACACTAAAGCCATGGCTCTGTCACAACTGCTATAGAAATCTGGCATGAGATCAAAGCTATTAAAGGAAGTTAGCTATGGAAGTACCAAAGAGTCACTTGCTAGAGAACTGACCTGCAAGGCAAGCACAAACTCGGTAGACAGCATTTTACTCAATTTATATGCACACAGGAAGCTAATAAGTTTAATTCTCGCTTTACCACTGCTCCATTTGAAACAGTTCATTCTAACTGCTTTTTGGTTTTTTTATGTAATGAATCAGTCTTTTTTTAAATCACCGCTTCTGACCTGAGTCAAAAGACCATGGCCTGGTTTCTAGTCTTTCCACAGGAAAATATGGAATCTGAATCATTTGAATTTTTCAGATGTTCATTTGGCCCTTCTTGAACTTACCTACACTATGAAAAACAAAATATCTAGTTTTTAAAATTTATTCCTTTTCCTAACTTTGGGGCTCCATTTGTATAACTTAATCCAGATGTTCATATCATAGCAGTGTTTGGTATAGCCAGCTAAAATGCATTTTATGCTGAAAACCTATACCTCATCTCTCTCACTTGATAAAATTATACACACTTTGTTGTATGTAGATATATATGTGAATGTACAAGCTCATTTGTCTGACATAGGGTACTTAGAACTTGAAAACATATCACTATTGACTGGCCACATAGTTTTTAAAATAGTATTCCTTTGTAGGGAACATTTTCTTGTTTATTACAACCTAATCTTTTCCATTTATCAAGTTAAATAACATGAAATTTTTAAATCCAAAAATACCCACAAACTCGATTTTAATCTCCTCCAGATCTACTAATAAGTGTAATGACTTTAACTGCCCCAGACTTTCTGGTTTCTCCCTAGGGCTGCTGGTGATGGTACTGCAATCTAAGCCCCATTAAAGATGTCTCTGTAGATACAGACACATGTATATTCAGAAGGGTGATGGTCCATATACAGCAAGGAACATTTTTTAAAAAAACAGAGTAAAAGAAAAACCAGAGTGTTGAAGTGCTCTGTAATCAAATTTGCTGTGAGATGGTAAAGGTAACCTCGTGAGAAAATAAGCAAGAAAGAACAGAAAAGCAAGGAAGGAAATGCGACAATTTGAAATGCCAAGCTAATGTAGAGTAAACTTTCATCTTCAACTTTTCTAGAGAAACTATCAGTATAACATAAAATTTAACTCTAATCACATGATGTAGAAATGAGTTGACAGATAAGACTGAATTAGAATATTCTTAGCAATACCTTTAGGCTGATATACTAATAGAGTTTCCAAACCACTAAGCCCTCACAATATTAGTAGGTATTTTATAAATAAAAACATGAATGGTCATACAAGCTACAAAATTGCCAGGATTACAATAATGACCAGGTTTCCTTTTGTTTTGCTGTAGGGCAGCCTTTAAAGGACTCATACAAAGTATAAATCTCTCAGAGAGGGCAAAGGCCAGGAGGCCACAAATTTGTCTAACTCCAGGACCCTACTAACATCTCCCAGAAACTGTTTCATCATAAGAAGTTTGGGAAAGACTGGTATTTCATACAGATGGTTAGTATGATTCTCCTAGAGTCAGTATTAGGAATTTTCCATGGCTCAGAGACTAAATATAACCACATGTTTACTATCCAGGACTCCATATATGTGCCCCAGTTAGAAAGGACAAAAGGGAAAAATAAGAAGAGGAAAAGGGCCTAGTGGTTTTCTGCCTACATGTCCTACACACCTGTTCCTGTAGTATGAAATCTCCATAGTTAGGCAGCGAGCTGGAGGCTTGGACTGAGTACTGGGCTCAGTGTTTACAATGTGCTAGGAAATCTGGTAGACAAAGAGACAGACTCATTCATTAACAGTGACTTGAGAATCCCCAGTCTCCCTGTCAGATCCTCAGTCACTAAAGCCCCAAAGCAAGCAGGAAGCCCACCTCAAGCAGCTCAGATGAGGACTGCTGATAGCAGCAGCACATTTCAGACTAGGAAGTACCTATTGTCATTTGTGCAATAGGGGAAAGAAAGATAAGGAGGTTGGTTACAAAAGCCCTTTGGGACCGGTCTTCCGCACATTTATCCAGGTGGCTCTCAAGCCAAGGCTTGAAACTAGCAGCTGGCAGATAAGCTCCTGCAATGCCTGCTAATTTTGTCATCAGCAAGGCCAAGTTTGCTGTCATTACAAACCAGGGGCTTCAATGCACCTAGGTCCTTTTAGGTCAGTGATGGTGAACCTGTTAGACACAAGTGTCCAAACTGCAACCCAAAACCTACTTATTTATCACAAGGTGCCAACACTGCAATTAAACCTGAATAGTGAGGTTTTAGTTTAGAAAAAATAACTCATAGATTAACACCTTCTGTCTTAAAATAAAGACAAAACCATGCATGCCACAGGTTTGCCACCACTGATCTAGGTGCTTTCACATGGTTAATAGCTCATTTACAAATGCAGTGGATCTTCTCTATTGTGTAGATATTGACACTTAGATTCCAGTGATGGGGAGAGGAGAAGCCTAAAGACTGTGGTTAGGAAGCTTAATCCTACTTTTCACTAGCTATGCCACCTTGGGGACTAGCTTAACCCCTGTATGTTCCAATTTCCTTCTCTGTAAGAAAAGGATAATATTAGTACCTACTTCGTAATGTTTTTTGAAGATTAAATTATGCACTGATTGTCCAGTGTACTGCAGACTCACAATTAACATAACTACTAATCTTGAATGAGCAGAAATTATAACCAAGGAAAGGCTCAGGGTGGAACTAAGTTTTGGCATTAGAAAAACAGAAGGGACTCAATAATCATTTATTAAATGATCACTATCTCTTAAAGCCAATGCTGGATTTTGGAAAAGGAGTTCTCACTTGCATATATGCAGGTCAAGAAGAACTGAGCTATTCAGTACCCTTCGAACTGAAGTAGGAAGCCACACCTCATGGTATCTGCATCTCATGGTTCAGTGGGTGCTAAAGACCATCCAACTGTCTCACAGAGGGACAAGCAAACACTAAAAGTGGCTTCACTGACTTGCTCCTGAGGTGCACCATATGGAAAGGCATCACTCTGAACCACTCAGAACAATGAAGCAGACATTGCAACTGTCTGTAGAGAGATTCCCCTACATTTTCTACTGAAAGCTTCTTCAGCAACAATTAAAGAAATTGAAGTTCTGTAGCACTGTATACCACACTCCCCACATTTTCTGCTTCTCACATAGTAGCACATAAGGCAAAATTAGTTTACACATGAAACAGATTTTAGTGACACGTTCCCACTCTTGCTGTTTCTGCTTATCAACAAACACCACCCTAAAGAAAGCACCATGGGCTCAGCCCACAATACTATCCCCATACTGACAACCATTTAACTTTTCGTTTCTTTGGAACCAACACAGCTCCTAAAATACTAGTGAAAATGTAGTCACCCAGACTGCATGTACTACATATAACCATGTCCCTCCTCCCAACTGCACAGACACCCTTGCTTTTCCTCTCTCTGTATGAACACTACACACAGTGGGGTGCAATGGCACACACTTGTAATCCTACTACTCAGAGTTTAAGCCAAAAGATCTCAAGTTTGAGCCCAGCCTTGGTAACTTAGCAAGATCCTTGTCTTAGTTAATTTTCTTATTGCTAAGACAAAATACCTGACACCCAAAGTTAAGGGCGAAAAGGTTTACTTAACTTACATTTTGTAGAGGTTTCAGACCATAATCGGCTGGTTCCACGGCAGGGTAGTGTTGCAGAGAACAGTTCATGGTAGGCAGAAGGCAGCAAAGCAAACAGGGATGACCATAGCTCTTTCTTTCCCTCATATTTCATCCAGGCTATTTATGGTGGGTAGCACTCACACACTTTAATCCTCGTGCCCTTGAGCCTAGCACTGCACCATGAATCAACCCCAGCATGACACACTCTAGTTCCAGCCACCTCTGAAAAAGCCCCACCTATGGCCACATGAGGCTATGGGGGGACATCTACACAAGTCATAACACTACATCTAAAAAATCTTAGAAATCTCACAAACCAGATCTGTGCTGACAAGCCCTTGCAAGTGGTAATGCAGCTAGCCTACCAAACAGCACACAAAAATCCAATCCATTTCCTACCTGTGATGGGCAAGGTCTCGGAGGAAGCGCAGGTGGTGGAGGCAACAATCCTGACTTAGTAGCTGAAAAGAAAGACACATACTGTTAAAGACTACCCCCCAGGAAAGGACACAGAACAAAAACAAAACTCTCTACTCAAGTAGGAACAGCAATGGGAGTTGCATTTAACATATTTTTAAAAATCTTTCTAAAAGCTAATTTTTTAAGTGCATGTTCTTTCTAATCCCTGTTTTATCTTCACTCTACTCAAACCCAAGTATTTACATAGGCTGCCATGATTAACATAAGGTAAAATGCTAAGGAAAAGATACCTTTGGATTAAAGGAGTAGAACTCAGCATGAGAAAGGCAGTCAACTCAATATTTTGATGTTAATTATTTAGTTTCAAATAATCTCAGTCAAAAGTCAGAGTCTTCTTTGTCTTATCACTCACTGTTCCTGGCTCTCACCATTCCTGAGGATGAGCTCAGGGCGCAGGCTGCTAAAAGGCAAGGAAGGAGCCACAACCCAAAGGCCGCAGCTCCGGGGCCTATGAGCACTCCTGCAGATGGGCCGCCAGCAGTAGAGGAGGCTGAAAGTAACCGACTGAAATGACATCTTTATTTCAAAGATCTCAATCTTTTTCTCCCTGGTCATTATTATCAGGGATGACTAATTTCTCTTTCTGAAACAGTCTGGTCACATTTGAAAGATCTTTTGAAGGAAGGCTGCATCTAACATTTTGTTGTGAGATACAGACAATATTTGAGTTAAGCCAAGAATATCTGAATTATAGTTTTACAATAAAAATAAACAGGTGCTACAGAAGTATAAATAAAATCCATCCATAATCACAAACAAGAAATTGGATTACACCCTGCCAAGTTAAACCACGTTCTTTATAAACTCCTTAGAAAAACAGCATGTCTACTGCAGTCTATTCACAAAACTGTAATATATGTGCTAATATTTGGACAATTTTCTGTGCCTTAAAAAATAAGTAACAACAATATACCACGAACAGCAAAGTTATTGCAAATCATTACTGGTCTGCCCTAGCTGGATTAGACAAGCTGATTAGCATTTTCCACAAATGTAACTCAGAGTAATGCCACAGAGATGTTCACTCCGAGCCAGAGTACGGATATAACACAACCATATGGGCCTGTCCATGATTTTTTTCCAGTCTGTCTTTTGTTAACATTTATGAAATACATCAGTGGGTCAACACTTCACAGGTTCAACAGCCATCAATAAAGCACGTAGCAGAAGAGAATACTGAAATGCTTCAGGAATTATCCATTGCTAGGCTCCTACTCTATAGGTCCTTACAGAATGAGCCTTTAAGTTACCAGTTACTTTAACAACAAAACAAAACAAGCAAGCAAAATCTGAGCATGCTTCTAAGGGAAAGGCCAAACAATTGGGCCAGAGTAACATGTGTATTAAAACAATCCTTACTCAAGAAATGATGAGCCATGTAATTAAATGGATTTTTGCTTCAAGATGGATCCAATTTACTCACCCATTTGAAACAAACAAAAACAAATAGGAAAACAACAGCCTTCAAGATACTAGAAGAAAATACATACAAAAGGGCTATAAAACACCAGAAAATCAGAGAACAGAGACAGTGGAGAGATGAAATAAAGGAGAAGTTGGTAACGATCTCTGCTCACTACCTTGAGAATTGCTAGAAGACCTAGGTTCAGGTCTAATCAGGCCCCTTCTTTATTAAACTATTATTTGATTTTTAAAAAGGAAAAATATATAATTTTTGAAAAAAATTGTGGGTCTATCTCTGAATATACTTACGGATAAAATTATATCACCTCCAAACACCATTTATTGGGTTCATTAGAAATTGTCCCAAATGTGAAGTAAAAATGAAGTGAAAGATTGAGACCATCTAAAATGCAATCCAGCCTCAGGTTCTTACAACTAAGCAAAATAGTGTCACAGGTGTGTGTGCATTGTTCATTCTAAATCTTTTACAAGTTGGTACTGGTTATTTTAGTCGTTAAACTCATAAAGGATGGGGGAGCCAAAAATATAAATAGTAACAACAATTTTGTTTCTTCTTTTCAGTAATTTTACCATATTTTCCGGTCTTATATACCTACCTAGAACATCTGCTATGAAGTTGAATTAAAATGGTGACAACGGATATGTTTGTCTTCTATTCATCACAAAGGGCAACATTTACTAGTTCACCATAAACTATGATATTTGATATAGGTTTACTGTAATATCCTCTGATTATGAAATTTCCCTACTTATTTTGAGATTTTTCAGGATAATTTGGTGCTAAATTGAAAAGAAAGCTACAACTCTATCCACTGAGATGATGGTATGATTTTTCCTTGTAATTTGTTCATATGGTAAATTACATTATGGATTTTCTAACATTAAAGCATCCTTGAAGATCTGTGATAGCCTTAACTTGGTAAAAATTTTATATCTGCTGCATTTAGTTAGCTGTTATCTTGTTTCGGGTTTTTGCAACTATATTCATGAGCAACACTGACAGTCATGGTTTTCCTTTCTCAGCTAGTCTTCACTTATGCTTCACTCAGCTAGAAAACATTCCCCTTATTTATATTTTGGAATAGGTTGTACACGACTGGAAATTTTAACCAGGCATGGTGGTGCACACCTGTAATTCCAGCACTCAGGAGGCTGAGGCAAGAGGATTGCTGTGAGTTCAATGCCAGCCTGGACTCCATAGTGAGTTCAAGCCCAGCTTAAACTACATAGTGACACTCAGTCTCAAAAAAAAACTCACAAAAAAGTTTTGAAAATTTTCTCAAATACATAAAAACTTGCTAATAAAGCCACCTGACCTAAAACCTTCTTTAAACAATATTTTTAAATGATCCCATTTCTTTGTTATAGGATCATTCAGATTCTTAAATCGATTCTGATAAATGGTATTTCTCTAGATATTTTTTCACTTTGTCTAAATGTCCAATTTACTGGTATGACAGTTTACCTATCCAGTTACAATCACCTTCTGTCTGCATGTGTATTCATCCTTTTCCACGACTCAGGGCGTTTATGTCATCAGGCTAGCTTTCCTTCATTAATCTCACTTGGCATGTGTCACTGTATTGCTTTCTTCAAAAAATCAATTTTTTAACTCTTTGAAACTTTTGTATTATATGCTCACTTTCTGATTCATCTCTTTCCATCTATGTTATTTGGGTTTGTCTTGTTATTCTTTTCCTACCTTAAACTGGTTGCTTAGTTCATTTGTTTCTAGATTTTTCTTTCTTTTTTCATACTGGAGTTTGCACCCACAGCCTTCACACTGAGCTACATTCTCACTATGTAGTTCAGGCTGGTCTCGAACTCATGGCAATCCTCCTGCCTCAGCCTCCCAAGTACTCAGATTACAGGTGTGTGCCACCACATCCAGCAGCCACCCACCATTTTTGACAAACACTTATTTGCTAAATTGCCTATGCTAGGCTCGAACTTGCTATCTTCCTGCCTTAGCTTCCCACAGTGCTAGGGTTACAGGTGTGTGCCACCATGCCCAGCTTCTATCTTTCTGTTTCTTTTTTGATTTTTATTAGTACATGTTTGCAGCACATAATGTCTGCACCCCTACAGGGACTTGGTACACATTTCCATTTTTTCCACTGCACTCCACCACCCCTTTTATTTTTCCAGCATCAAATTCATTTATTTATCTTATAAGGCCTTATAAAGTTAATTATCTTATATACAGATTGAAAACCAGGCTAATAGGCCAAAGAACATATAAAACATGTAAGGTAATTGTAGTAAATCAAGGTACGCTTTTATATACATTCTCTAGAATGGATTATAATACCTTTTTTTCTCTATTTCTTCCTATTATCTTTTATTTCATACTTTATATATACTGAGTTTTTATACATAAGAGAGACCATGCAATATTTAAGCTTATGTGTCTGAGTTACCTCACAAAACATTATGGTCATAAGGTGCATCCACTTTCTTACAAATGACACGTTTATCCTTTTTATGGCAGAGTAGTACTCCATTCAGTACAAATACATTTTTTTAAAAATGTTCTAATGTAAGCATTTAGGATGACAAATTTTATTCTACATACCTGTTTATTAAAATTTCTTTTTTTGGTATCAGAAATCGAACTCATGACCTCATGCTTGCCAGGCAGGCACTTGCCACTGATCTATATCCCTGGCCCTAAAATTTCATAAATATATATATATATATATATATGATACTATCATTTACTGCTTTAAAATTGCCTAATTTCCATTATGATTTCTTCTATGATTTACATTCTGTCCTAAGTGCATCCTTTTATGATTTTCTAAATTAAGGGTCTTCTGACAGCAAACTCAGTTACTGACAGTACTATTTTCTCTCAAAACACTGAAGACGCCATTTTGCTGTCTTCTGCCTCTGTTATTGCTATCAATCAAATCATTATTCTTAGTAACTTCTCTTCTCTCTGGTTGCTTTGAAGAGCTTCTCTGGTTTGGGTAGCCTGAAATATCAAGCTTCACCCTGTGTCTTCACATGCACTGCCTCATCTTCTGGTTCTTCACTGGAATTTCTCAACCACGGGATATCCCAATCAACTCTGGCCAATCTGCAGTATTTCTTTGAGTATTTTCTTTCTACTACTCACTTCTTCTTCAGGAGCTCTCTGTCTGTGCTATATTCTGCATCATTTTCTAACACTGATTGTCCAGTTAATCCAGTCTGATTTTCAATTAATTTTTTTCTAGAGTTCTACTTGGTCTTTGTCCAATTTTTCTTCATTTTTACTTAAAAAGTAAAGAAATGTGCCAGGTATGGTGGCACACACCTATAATTCCAGCACTCAGGAAGCTGAGGCAGGAGGATCATTGGAAGTTTGAGGCCAGCCTGGACTATACAGTGAGTTCAAGGCCAGCATGAACTAGCAAGACCCTGTCTCAAAATAAGTAAAGAAATGAACAGTGGATCCTATTTCCTACCCCTCAGGAGAAGGATATATCTTGACGTGATCCTCCAGGGTCCTGTTCTAGGTATCCCTCATACTGTTTAGGGAGTTCTGCAATCCTGCTCCTGTAGTGGTAAT